TCACTCCCTAAAGTACAACTGCAGAACCAGAGACAACATCATCACTCTCTAATCATGCTACTTTGACATAAAAAACAAACAGAACCCACTTCTATAGAGTCACTTCAACTTTTTCTTAAATGAATCATTTTATTGGGGGCTTTTACAGCTCTTATATTAATCCATACATCAATTTTAGCAAGCATACTTGTACATATGTTGCCATCAACATTTTCTTTCTACTTGAACCCTTGGTATCAGCTCCTCTCTTTTCTCCCCCTCCCCTGCCCTCCTTCCCTTGTGAATCCTTGATACATTGTAAATTATTCATATTTTCATATCTTACACCATCTGCAGTCAGTCTCTCTTCACTCACGTTTGTGTTGTTCATCCCTCTCTGGGGCGGGTGAGGGGATCAATCTTATACATTGATCATTGCAATTGATTCCCCCTTATAGAACAGACTAGAACTGTTCCATTTGAGTTTACAAACTGCAATCTGTACAGCCTTCTAATATATCTTTCTCTCATGGAAGGACAGGTGGCTTTGAACTTCCAACTCTATGATTAGCAGCTGAGTGACAACCAGTATGCCACTTGGGTTCCTTTCTTTGACATGCAGCCCATCATAAATTATCAAGGATCAAAATTCTATCTTTCCCATCACATCTCTTCATAATCCTACTTATTTGCTCAAACGACTTGCTTATTTTTCACTTAAATACTGGGATACGTTGTCAGTTGTAGTTTACAACAAGACAACCGCTAAGTGAAAGCTGAGGATACATCTCTCATCGTTGCATATAGCTTAGTATAGACCAGTCCTCTATTCCATATTGGAATATTACACAATCCCATTTCATCCTTGCTATGTTTCTCCATGGAGCATTATTATCCTCCACTATATAAATTGTAAGAAATTATTTTTATATTTTTAACAATCCACTTAAAATAGCAAAACTTGGAAATCTAAAATCTTCCAGTGGAGGCATCCTGGTCCAGTGTTTTCATTCTTCAAGTAATAATCATGAGATTAACACAGGCCTTATTTCTTATATTTACTAATATTAATCTTCATTAAAAACAAAGTGAAATGGTGACAATCATAATGGTTTTCAAAGACCAAGTAGATTATCTGGTAGAACATACTTTCAAATTTGCCAAAAAATTACAGCTATATACATATTATACCTATTATATAATATATATTCTGCTTTATAGATATTGGTTATAGAGGTCTATTTTGCACAGTCCAAACTTCCTTCCTCTTTCTCACAAATGATGCTGCTGAAAACTATCCACCATGCTTCCAGAAAAGAACACAAAAGATTTCTGATTGAGCTTTGTTCACAATGAATGAGGTGGGAGGTGGTGTGGATCAAAAGAGTCACGGGTGCGGAAGAGACAGACATGAGTTTTGAAGTTAGAAGATTGCAATCCAAGTCTCAGTTCTTCCTTTACTCATTTCCCTCATCCTGACAATAGCAATAGCCATCACAGCCAAATGAAATATTCAAAGATGTGAGACCTTAGAAGGATGCAAAGCATCACATATAGAATAATGTACTATGAACAGTGATGTACAATGATAATGTTTCCCTAGGAAAGTCTGGGCAATGGCTTTTATGAAATTGCACTAGGAAATCAATTGGGTGAGTTGGATATTTGAATGGAAAAGCTTATTTTTAAAAAAGGTTCAGAGTAATTTAAACTATAACTCATGGTGAAGAATCCTATGTAGGTCACTCGTCCTTGATGTTAACTTCATAAAAGATTACAGAGGGTCTTTCTTGAAATGATTTATCTTAATAGATGCTATAAGGACTCCTCCTAGAAAGTGCTCTGGACATAATAAAAAGTACAGAAAATAAAGTAAATGCTCCATGTGATTCTTTGCTACAATCTTCAATTCAACTAGATAATATTTTCACTTGAAAATTACAAGTCTATTTTCTTTCCCCCAAAAGGGGAAAAAAATGAATTTCTATGACCAATATTACTCTGATTTCTCACATATATCATAAGCTCAGTTGTTATGAATAAAACAAACAAAATGGCCTATTAGTGCATCTTCAAGCTCTGTGTAATATGAATAAACTTATGAAGTCTGAATTATACCTTAAATTTTTATGAAAACATTGTGTTCATTTTGCACATCATTTAAAATCAGCAAATCATATGTAGAGATTTTCATAACTGAAAAGAAGTGAGCTTAAAGGCTTGAAAGTAAACAAGCGGCCATCTAGCCCAGAAGCAACAAAGCCCACATGGAAGCAGCACACCAACATGTGTGATCATGAAGGGGCAAAGGGACCAGGCTTCAAACACCAAAGGCGGGGAGAAAAATCATATCCTCGTCGATGAGGGTGGCGCGTGATGGAGACCCAATGCCCATCTCTAGACAACTGGACATACCTTGCAGAGGGGTAGTGGGGAGATGAGCCACTTAGGGTACAGTATACCAATAATGAAACCCACAACCTTCCTCTAGTTCTTAAACGCTTCCTCCTCCCAACTACCAGGACCCCAATTCTGCCGTGCAGATCTGGCTAGACCAGATGATGCACAGCGGGACAGATGGGAATTGGAAACGCAGGGAATCTAGGAGAGATGAACCCCTCAGGACCAGGGGTGACAGTGGCGAAACCAGGAGGGAAGGGGGGTGTAGGAAGGGGGAATTGATCACAGGGAGCTACATATAACCTCCTCTCTGGGGCACAGGCAGCAGACGGGTGGGTGAAGGGAGACGCCGGGCAGTGTAATATAAGATACAATAATAATTTATAAATTATCAAGGGTACATGGGGGAGAGGGGAGGAGGAAGGGAGGGGGAGGGGGAAAAAGGAAAATGAGCTGATTCCGGGAACCCAAGAGGAAAGCGAATTTTGGGAATAATGAGAGCAACAAGTGTATAGATGTGCTTTACACAATTGATCTATGTATTGTGATGAATTGTATGAGCCTCAATAAATTGATTTTTAAAAAAAAGAAAAGAAAGGAAGTGAGCTACAGCGCAGTGATGATGATGTGATCACAGTTATGAAAAGACAAACGTGACTGGGCACTGATGTAAGTGTGTGTAGACTTCCCTTACAGAAGGGGCGTGGAGGGTACTAACCAGCTACTGACAGCACTTGTCACTGGAAAAAGAAATATGAGTGTGTTTAGGGCCAGAAATCATAACTGGCTTTATTTGCATCTTTGGAATAAGTAACCATGTATTACGTGCGTGTGTATGTGTGTGTGCGTGCGTGTGTGTTTTAAATGATAAAGAAGAAATACACAGAGGTGGGCATGAAAGACATCATTTACGCCTACTACATCATGAATGCTGCTTCTTGGCCACTGGACTGGACTTCGGCCATGGCCACACATGCTGTCTTCCCAAGGCATGTGAATCAACCTACCTGCTGTTGTTAGATGCCACACACTCATAGGACCCTCTGTCCAACAGAATGAAGCCTGGCCTGGCCTGCACCATCCTCACAATTGTTCTTCTGTTTGAGCCACTGGTGTCCCCAGTGTGTCAATCCATCTCGTCACGGGCCTTCCTCTCTTTCCTGCCCCTCCACTTTATCAAGCATGACGTCCTTTTCCAAGGTGTGGTCTCCTGATGACATGTCCAAAGTAGGTGAGATGAAGTCTTGCCATCCTTGTCTCTAAGGAGACTAGTGGGCTTCAACAACTAGCAGCTAGCAAGCCCTCTAAGCAGTATAGCCCAATTCAATTATGGTTGGAATATACCACACGCTTCGAGAGAAGACCTAACAGGCTCACCTGAGTTCAAGCTCTCTGAAAATGGTACCTGTGGGGCGTTGGGACAGTCACTTTTGGTGGATTAATGTGTCCCGGGCAGGCACGATTTAGCTTACTGAGCTGCTCCACTGCACTGGAAATAATGCTCACCTTTTTAATCCCTCCCTCTTTTTTAACTGTTTGGCTGAAAAGTCCAAAGACTAAAATATTCAACTGTGGACTTGCTAACTCAAGGCCAGTGCTCTTTAAAAAGTTGGCTGCCCCACTGCTCCCTAATTAGTTTACAACACTGAGCCACGACAGGAGGCCCATCAGCAGATTCCATTCACAACCCTGGAGGAAAAAAATCCTTTCGCTGTTTTCACTTCATACAAAAGATGTTTGCGAACACTTGGCAGTGCTTCAGATACGCGCTGTCTGGTAGTGTTGATAATACAATTTTTTTGGTAGCCTTTATAATGCTATATCACTCATGTTTCACATCGTGCTCAAAAAGACTGTATTTATTGACTTAGTAGACATAATTCATGCACTCGCCTGAACTATTTGACCTTTTCCTTACTATAGTTTAGAATTTAGCTACAGACACATTTTCTTTTGAATCTTATTGTTGCAAGATGTCACACTGCATTTGGCAAGCCTACAAAGTACCGTTCATTCACATAAAAGAAGGTCAATTGATCTGAATGAAAGGGCTTTCTTAGTTATAGGTAATTCATTTATATGCACCGCGTACTTTAAAGGGGATGTCGAAGAATCATGCAGGCAACTTAGTGTGCAGATTTACAAAGTCAGAGTCACATGATCTACAAATAAAAATTCTATTTATGTAAGAGTCACACTGTATCTGAAAGAGCTCCTAAAATAAAGATGGATCTAGGGAGGTAAAGCCTTTGGGTATTCCCCCACCCCCCAGCAGGGGAAAAATCAATGTGGCTTGATACTTCTAAATAGCGATCCTCATCATCTAAACATCAGCCCAGAAATGGTTCCCAAGTTGTTGAAAAGTCCATCAAAATTGCACAAAGCTGTAGTTGAAGTTGTTTGAGGAAAATTTTATAAAACAAATATGCTTGGCTATTGTTTGGATTAACTTCCAATCCTGAAGAAGAAGGCTCTTCTGTTTCACACCCAAGCCGTGTAACCAACACAGGGTCTAAAAATCACAAGTGTGGGAAATGGATTGTATCTATTGCCTGCATGTGGTTGGAATGAATGACCTAAATTGAAGGGGTCATAGATAACATTAAAGGATATTTACTCACCGTGTTAAAATTTGGAAAGAGTCCAACAGCAGAACTACTGTCCACAGGGAAAGACATGAAGGGTTTGATATCCAGGGAGGGTTGCATCATCAAGGCAGGTGTGCGCACAAGAGCAGGGAGGGGCGTGGTGTGGCATGTACTTCCTGCCAAGAACAAAACAAAAATGCATTCAATGTCTTGTTCACCCCCATCTCCCTCCCAAACCTGTGGTGCCAAAGCGAGACTGCTGAGCTGCAAGCAAGAGAGTTACACAGGACGCAAGCAAATGACACAGGAAGAACAAATACAACTGGAAAGGGTCTTCTTGGGGGGCTAAGTCAGTGACGTTTCCCTATGCAAGTTCCAGGGTAACTCAGACTTGACTGAGACCTAAAGAGCACTGGTCCTCTCGTAGCTGGAGCAGTATGAGGAAGGCTTGTCGCCTGACCTGTATACTTTGACCAGCTCAAGATGTAGACGAGAGGAAGGGAGAAGACGCAAACCAGATGTTCTATCCTATTGAGTTACTGAATGGCTAGTAGGCATGTTTTATGCAAATCAGAGATAAATACCAGGTTTCCACATGAGTAAAAACTTTGGACAATCATAGTTACTGTCTGAAAGCTATGACTCAAACTATTTATTTTCTACAAAAACCAAACCGAGTGGATGCTGTCTTTAGTTTGAGGAAAGTCTCTATTCATTTGATGGTTAGAGAACATACAGGGATGATTACGGCTTGGTTCCAGTCAGGATATCAAGGGATAAGGAAGTGTTGAGACAGGAACTCAAAAATGTGTCTTCAACTTTTATTTCTAGTGAAGTTTCTTTTATTAAAAAGCAACAGTCCTTTTAACAGTTACATTACCTGTCATCTCTGTAGATACTTGGTTTAACCCATGACTAGGAGGCTTAAAACACTCTCCAGTAACAAATATTCTTTTTAGCTCATAGGAGAGAGATCCTGACCTGCCCTCTTCTAGGAGAGAGATCCTGACCTGCCCTTTTAAAATTTATTTTTATAACAGTTTTATTGAAATATAATTCACATACCACACAACTCAGTGGTCTTTAGTACATTCACTTAGTTGTGTAACCAGTCAATCCTAGAATATCTCATCTCCCCTAAGAGAAACCCTATCTATAGCCAATAGTAGTCACTGTTCATTTTTTCCTCATCTCCTGAGGTGCTGTTAATCACTAATCTATTTTATGTCTCTATATTTACTTTTCTGGACCTTTCGTTTAAATGCAATCATACAATAAGTGATATCTGGTTTCTTTCACTTAGCATAATACTTTTCAGGGTTGAATATCATTTCATTGAATGGATATACCACTTTTGTTTATTTAATAATCAGTTGATGAGCATTTGTATTGTTTCAACTATTTGGTTATTATTAATAATACTAGCATGAATATTAATGTACAAGTTTTTATGTGAGGATTTTTTAATTCTCCAGTAAGAACTGTTGGAATTGCAGGGTTATTATACAATAACCCTATGGGTTAATCATTTGAGGAGCTGCCGGATGGTTTTGCAAAGCAGGTAAACCATTTTATATTATTAGTGCATGACAATTTAAATTTTTTTGGTATGACCATATAGGACCAAGCATTTCCTAAATTCCTCTACTGACTTCATGAAGAAATGGGAAAATGCTTTAACTAACAAAATGTGCACCCATTTTTGCACATAGTATACCAGAATCACTAAAATTCCTATTTCAATGATACAGGTTTTTGGTCATGAATTTCCTTAATAAGTGTGCATCATATTTCAAGTTAGTCTAGAGCAAAGTGTTTAATGGACTGCCATACCTCAGTTATATTGATCCTAAAAACAGGAAGAGACAAGGGTACCCCAGGAGCATTTACTTGTACTGGAAAGTCATTAGGTCAACCCTATCCACTAGGGTATGTAGAATAAGACTCGGCAAAAAGGAATCAGTCAGGAGCAGAGATTAAAGAACAATGCTGCTTGCTTGCTTTTTTTGTCTTCCCTGAGACAAAAACAACACTGATCTCAGTCTGGCATTCCTATAACTGCCTTACATTTAATCACACACTGCTCTTCTGAACAGGTAATGCTGTATCTATTGCTCACCCCAGTGCAATAAAAAACAATGTCATATTAATACGTCAAATGTTTGCAGAGTATTTATCTTAAAATATTGATTTAAAAAGATTTGCTTTAAAAATATTTGCTGAAACATAAAAAATAAGCATAAAGACCCATTCTACCTAATGCTGCCAGATGAACATATTGATAATTATTTTGCCATTGTGGATCTCTCAAAGAGAAGCAAAGTTCATTCTCTGAGTTCACAATGGTGGCTCTGATAACACTGCATAACACAGGCCCCTGAGGGCCTGGCGGGAGTCCCTTTGTACAAACAGCCTCAAATCAAGTAGAAGGCAGCATTAAACCAAACAGACTGTTCCATCAACAAAGGTCAAAACTCACAGTGATTCCCCTTTTACCCAATCAAATCTCTATGCTAATAAAGACAAGGCCTGAGAGCTACTTAGCAGCCACCATTCATTAGCATAAAAAACTTAGCAGCTGTTTACCATTTCATTAGCATTTTAATGACAGACAATTTGCCATGTTAAACACAGATTGTTTTAAAGTACTGGTAGATCTTCTGAATAAAGATAAACTGTTTTCATCAATTTCTGTACCTCAACCTTCCTGTTTTCACTTTGAAAACCTGTTTTTTAATGTTGATTTATCAAGAATGATTGCTTCAAAGGAGGCGTTTGTAAATAAAAATGGGATAAAGTGCTTTTTATTTATCTATTTATTTTTGCACTGACTGGTTCGCTTGCAGTTGTTGCTGACCACAAGGTCTTCCGTTGGAACGCAGCAGCCCCAAAGCCCAGGCGTTCTAGTCCTGTAGAGAGTTACAGTCTCGGAAACTCAAAAGGGCAGTTCTACCCTGTCCTGTGGGCTCCATATGAAGTGTGACGCAGCGGGAACACGTTTGGTTTTGAGAATGGTTGCTGCTGTGTGTGTTCCAGTCCATGCAGACTCTTAGCAAATCTATAAGACAGAGCAGAACTGACCCCGGGGGTGGGGGTGGGGGGGTTCCCCTCACTTTAGGATGCCCCTAAGTCAGCAAGAGATCCAAGCAGGAGATTGCTCAAATGCATGGCACCTGGCAGGTACATGATTGATTTTCTAAAATGCAGGGGCTTGTTAAGAAGGAGCGGGTAGGGAGGGAGGTAGAAAAGGTATTTGAAGGTACAGTGAATTCTCATGGGCAGAGGAAACCTTGGTCTTTTGGATAAAACATTCAGCAACACGCATTATGGAAGATAACTCCTTTATGTAGTTCTGTTTCAGAACACCTGGTAGATAGCATATCAGAGTGAACTATGTCACAATTGAGTCCAAACTCATGTTATAAGAAGGCTTTTCACACCACCTAATTTCTATATGGAGCCCTGGTGGCACTGTGGGCTAGGCTAACTTCATGGCTGCTAACATCATGGTTGGTAGTTCAAACCCACAAGCCACTCCCAGGAGAAAGAAGAAGCCAGGTACTCCTATCAAGAACGACTGGTTCAGAAACTCTACTCTGCCCTGAGTAGGAAAGACTCTGATAGTGGGTTGGGGGGGGGGGGGGGTGTCAGTTATATATATTCATCAAACTACTAAAATTAAATATATACACACAAGAAGGCATACCCAATGATCTAATAGTTACCTTTGTCTTCATAGTACATATCCATATACTCTCACCCACATATGCATATAAAAAGGCAATTAATTACTCTTCTCCCATAATTTTATTTTGCTAATAAAATACAAGATGTATTCATCTACAGCTATAAAACTGGCAATATATGAAACATGACTCACCACTATAGTTAGAAAAACAAACGAAAAACATAGATCCAGGAATGGTTTGGGTGTACACACCAAACCCCACCCCCAATGTAAGAACAATTAATTCTTACATCAGGGTCCTGTTCTGTATTCACCTCCAGGAAGGGAACACAGAGGAGACGGGTGCTATAGCAAAATGTGGTGAAGAATTAGATGGTACCTGCTGTCAGATAAAGTAATGTCTGGGATCTTAAAGGCTTGTCTCTCCACAGTGCGGGAATTGTGCCTGGTCTGACCCTCCACACCAGGGTGAAACATGAAGGGTGCTCAACAGAGCAGCAAAGGGAGCAGAGCAATGAAGTCCCGAATCCCAGGAGGAATCCCGAAAATAGACTTCAGACTTGGAGGGCAGGGCTTGGAACCACATCAAACTGAATTGGAAAATGTACATGAGGGTCAACAGACAGACATGGAACTATTTACAGCAGTGCTTCTCAACCTGTGGGTTGCGACCCCTTTGGGAGTTGAACGGCCCTTTCACAGAGGTTGCCTGATCCATAACAGTAGCAAAATTAGAGTTATGAAATAGCAACAAAAATAATTTTATGGTTGGGGGGTCACCACAACATGAGGAACTGTGTTAAAGGGTCACGGCATTAGGAAGGTTGAGACCACTGATTTATAGGCTTTTTTCCCTCCTTCTTTTTTTCAAGTCTATCTATATAAGATAGGCAAGATAAACAATCTCGAGGAGAAAACAACAGGGCCAATGGTTCCAGGGGAACAGGGGAGAAAGGAAAGTGGAGGAAAGAGTTGGGGGAGCCAACAAACCCAGGGAGAAGGGAACAACCAGAGATGTGAAATCTGTGGTGAGGAGGGTGTAGAACGCCTGGTGGGGTTTCATCCAGTGCAGATGTAGACAAGAGGAATTACTGAGAGCCGCATGAAGGTCTAACATGATAGTGTGAAAGGAGGAAAGTAAAAGGAAATAAGGAAAGAACTGTGAGGCAAAAGACATTTATAGAGGTATAAATAAAGGCATGTGCATATGTAAATATATGTATACTTAACGGTAGGGATATAGGTCTATGTACATATCAAAGGTTTATGGGGGTAGGGGACTGAGGGAAAAAAGAGGAGCTGATACCAAGGGCTCAAGCAGAAAGAAAATTTTTTGAAAATGATGATGGCAACACATGTATATATGTGCATGATACAATTGATGTATGGATTGTTTTAAGAGCTGTAAGAACCCCCAAGAAAATTGGGTACACACTTAAAAACAGAAAAAAGGCTTGTCTATGGACTCTTCTGTACCCATTTTATCTG